AAGGTGTAGAGCTGGATGAACACAGCAGGCCAAGCAGCATCATGGGAGCGGGAAGGCTGACGTTTCGGGCCTAGACACTTCATCAGAAATGGGGGAGGGGAAGGGGGTTCTGAAATAAATAGGGAGAGAAGGGGAGGCGGATAGAAGATGGATAGAGGAGAAGATAGGTGGAGAGGAAACAGACAGTCAAAGAGGCAGGGATGGAGCCAGTAAAGGTGAATGTAGGTGGGGAGGTAGGGAGGAGATAGGTAAGTCCAGGGAGGACGGACAGGTCAAGGGGGCGGGATGAGGTTAGTAGGTAGAAGATGGGGGTGCGCTTGAGGTGGGAGGAGAGGTTAGGTGGGAGGAAGAACAGGTTAGGGAGGCGGGGACGAGCTGGGCTGGTTTTGGGATGCGGTAGGGGGAGGGGAGATTTTGAAGCTTGTGAATTCACATTGATACCATTGGGCTGCAGGGTTCCCAAGCGGAATATGAGTTGCTGTTCCTGCAACCTTCGGGTGGCATCGTTGTGGCACTGCAGGAGGCCCAGGATGGACATGTTGTCTGAGGAATGGGAGGGGGAGTTGAAATGGTTCGCGACTGGGAAGTGCAGTTGTTTATTGCGAACCAAGCGTAGGTGTTCTGCAAAGTGGTCCCCAAGCCTCCGCTTGGTTTCCCCGATGTAGAGGAGGCCACAACGGGTACAGCGGATGCAGTATACCACATTGGCAGATGTGCAGGTGAACATCTGCTTGATGTGGAAAGTCTTCTTGGGGCCTGGGATGGGGGTGAGGGAGGAGGTGTAGGGGCAGGTGTAGCACTTGCTGCCGTTGCAGGGAAAAGTGTCGGGTGTGGTGGGGCTGGAGGGGTGTGGAGCAGACAAAGGAGTCACGGAGAGAGTGGACCACTCTGTCTGTTTCCTCTCCACCTATCTTCTCCTCTATCCATCTTCTATCCGCCTCTCCTTCTCTCCCTATTTATTTCAGAACCCCCTTCCCCTCCCCCATTTCTAATGAAGGGTCTAGGCCCGAAACGTCAGCCTTCCTGCTCCTATGATGCTGCTTGGCCTGCTGTTTTCATCCAGCTCTACACCTTGTTATCTCAGATTCTCCAGCATCTGCAGTTCCTACTATCTCTGAGGTAATGAGGTGTTTATGTCGCTATTATCAGAGGAATTATTGGGAGAGTATGAGTGAGGTGAAAAAAGCCACTTAAGAACATATGAGCTAGTGCCAGAAGTCTACAGACAACATCTTAGGAATTTAAGGAGGGAACCCAGTCAAATGTACGAGAATTTGAAAGGATCAAACAAAGTAACTTTGATAAGTGGAGGATAAGGGCATTGAATATAGATCAGACATACGATGCTGTTAGATAGACTGTTATATTGTAGGAGTTCAAAAATTCCCTTCCTGAGTTAGTGAGAAGTCATGTGAAAGAGCAGAGTTAAGACTGCAAGATTAGCATCAGAAATGGCAGATGGTTATGAGTTAAAGTGGCAGGCAACTGGAAGCTTAGGATCCTTTTTGCAGGAGAATATAAATGTTCTGCGAAGTGGTCACCCAGTCTACGCTTCGTTTCCCCTATATAGAGGAGACCACATTGTGAGCAGTGAATGCAGTAGACTAGGTTCTGGGAAGTGCAGGTAAAGTGCTGTTTCATCTGGAAGGTATGTTTTGGACGAAGCTGATGTTTCGGGTCGGGACCCTTCTTCAGAAATGGCTTCACAGTGGAGTTATAACTCACTCAGAGATAGTAAGAACTGCTGGTGCTGGGTTTTCTGAAGAAGGGTCCCGACCCGAAATGTCAGCTTTCCTGCTCCTCTGATGCTGCCTGGCCTGCTGTGTTCCTCGAGCTCCACATTGTGTTACAATTGCTTGGAGCCCAGGTATTCACAATAGATAATAATGATTTAGGAGAGGGAACTAAATGTAATATCTCCACATTTGTAGATGACACAAAGCTGGGTGGAAGGGTAAGCTGTGAGGAGGATGCAGAGATACTTCGGTGGTTGATTTGGACAAGTTGAGTGGTGGGCAAATGCATGGCAGATGAAGATAAATGTGAGATTATCTAATTTGATAGCAAAATTGGAAAGGGAAATTATGATTTGATAGGCGATAGATTGGGAAAGAGAGAGGTCCAACAAGATCTGGTGTCCTTGTTCACCAGTTACTGAAAGAAAGTGGTGAAGAAGGCAAATGGCATGTTGGTCTTCACAGTGAGAGAATTTGAGTACAGGGCCCTGGTAAGACTCCTGCTACAGCATTATTGGCAGTTTTGGTCTTCTTATCTGAGGAAGGATATTCTGGCTATTGAGGGAGTGAACAAATGTTACTTGGACTGATTCCTGGGATGACAGTACTAATGTAAGAAGAGAGATTGGAATGTTTAGGACTATGTTCACAGGAGTTTCTTTCCATGCTGTATAACTCTATGACTCTGAGTTTAGAAGAAGGAAGGGGGAATCTCATATAAACACATAAAATTCTAACAGGAATAGACAAGGTAAATGCAGGAAGGATGTTCCTGATGACCAGGGAGTATAGAACTAGCGGTTACAGTCTCAAAATATGGAGTAAGCCATTTAGGACTGAGATGACGCAAAATTTCTTAACCAAAGAAGAGATTCTGTGGAATTCTATGCACGGAAAGTGTTTGAGGCCAAAACATTGAATATTTTCAAGAAGGAGTTAGAAATAGTTCTTATGACTAAATGGATCAAAGGGTATGGGGAGGGAGAGGCAACAGGGTACTGAGTTGAATATATTGCCCTGATCATATTGAATGGTGAAGCAGTCACAAAGGGCTGAATAACCTACTCCTGCCCCTAATATCTGTGTTTCTATGTCCTGGAACCAACCAGAGAGCAGCCTATTCTCGACCTGTCTGTGTGCTTTTAAGCATAGAACATAGAACATAGAACATAGAACATTACAGCGCAGTACAGGCCCTTCGGCCCTCGATGTTGCGCTGACCTGTGAAACCAATCTGAAGCCCATCTAACTAAAGTATTCCATTATCATCCATATGTTTATCCAATGACCATTTAAATGCTCTTAAAGTGGGCGAGTCTACTATTTTTGCAGGCAGGGCATTCCACGCCCTTACTACTCTCTGAGTAAAGAACCTACCTCTGACATCTGTCCTATATCTATCACCCCTCAATTTAAAGCTATGTCCCCTCATGCTAGCCATCGCCATCTGAGGAAAAAGGCTCCCACTGTCCACCCTATCTAATCCTCTGATCATCTTGTATGTCTCTATCAAGTCATCTCTTAACCTTCTTCTCTCTAATGAAAACAGCCTCAAGACCCTCAGCCTTTCCTCATAAGACCTTCCCTCCATACCGGGCAACATCCTGGTAAATCTCCTCTGCACCCTTTCCAATGCTTCCACATCCTTCCTATAATGCGGTGACCAGAACTGTATGCAATACTCCAAGTGCGGCCGCACCAGAATTTTGTACAGCTGCAACATGACCTCATGGCTCCGAAACTCAATCCCTCTACCAATAAAACCTAACATACTGTACGCCTTCTTAACAACGCTATCAACCTGGGTGGCAACTTTCAGTGATCTTTGCACATGGACACCGAGATCTTTCTGCTCATCCACACGACCAAGAATCTTACCATTAGCCCAGTACTCTGTATTCCTGTTACTCCTTCCAAAGTGAATCACCTCACACTTTTCTGCATTAAACTCCATTTGCCACCTCTCAGCCCAGCTCTGCAGCTTATCTATGTCCCTCTGTAACCTGATTAATTAAAGATTAATTAAAGATGCCAAAGTAAAGGTGAATCCAGGTAACAGTGATCATAACATGACTTAATTACACACTTAGTTTGAGGAAGAAAAGGGTCTTAAAATGGAGTCCTGAAGAAGAGTCATATTCAACTCAAATCATTAATTCTGTTTCTCCACAGATGCAACAAATCCTGCTGAGTATTTCAGCATGTTCTGTTGCTATTTCCTCTTAGTTCCACTTGAAATAGGAGCACACTATCTTAAGTATTGCCTGGTCTTCTAACTTAATGCACCTTACCTATTTATGGAGTCTCAGAGCCATAGAGATGTATAACATGGAAGAAGACACTTCGGTCCACCTCATCCATGCTGACCAGATGTCCGAAATTAATCTAGTCCTATTTGCCAGCACTTGATTCATTATCCCTCTGGTCTCCAGGCTCCACCACTTTCTCTGGCAGTTCATTCCATGCACTCACCACCTTCTGAATGAAAACGTTGTGCCTTAGGTCCCTTTTAATTCTTTCTCCTCTATAAACTTCTATATAGTCACCCCTCAGCCTCCAATGATCCAGGGAAAATAGCCCCAGCCTATTCAGCCTTTCCCTCTCGCTTAAATCCTCCATCCCTGGCAACATCCTTTTAAGTCTTTTCTGGACCCTTTCAAGTTTAGCAACATCTTTTGTATAACAGGAAGAACAGAATTGAACACAGTATTCCAAAACTGGCCTAACCAATGTGTACAGCCACAACATGACCTCCCAACTCCTATACTTAGTGCACTGACCAATAAAGACAAGCATACCAAAAGCCTTCTTCACTATCCTGTCTATCTGTGATTCTGTGTTCAAGGAACTGTGAGCCTGCACTCCAAGATGTCTTTGTTCGGCAACACTCCCCAGGACCTTACCATTAAGTGTATAAATTTTTTAACTTCTTTGTGCTGGTGCCCATCTCCTTGCACATTGAGTTTAAACACTCTCCAACCAGACTAGAGAATCTTCCATGAGAACATTGGTCCCAGATTGTTGAGGAGCAACTTGTATCTTTTGCATATGTACTTTTTGCCTAGAACTGGTCCCATTGTCTCAAGAATCTCAAGCCTTCATGTGCCACCCCTAGCCTAGCCGTCCTACTACTTTTTCACTCATATGCATCTATTTTGTGTTAAATAATTGGAGGCGGCATGTTGCAAATCGTAAATACTTTGTAGAAAACATTAGGGATTGATTATCATGAGAACTAATTCTTTTTCTGTTTGAATATTGTAGAATTTGCTTAATGACTTCATGAGTAACTCCTTTGCTCAAATTAATTCTTCACGGCATTCTTTACATCTTCTAAAAAGGCAAGTATTCAAATTAAATATTTTACTAGTACAAAATTTTGCTTTGGAAAGGATTAATTTTTTGTTGATAAGTGTGCTTGTTTACGATTTTTCATGATCCAGAGATGCAAACACTGTCATTAATATTCTGTAATAGTGAATGTTACCACAGCAAACCGGATTCCTAGCGGGGCTAGTTGGTTGATTTGGCTGGAGGCAGTTGTAGATTAGATTACTAACAACATTTGGTTTGACCCCATTCTGTTGGGTTGGATTTGGGACTTCCCTCTTTGCCCTTTCTATGTTTGGAGATTGCAGTGCCATGGATGGATCTACATTTGGACAGAGAGCTGAAGAAGGAGATTTTAAAAAAAAATTCATTCAAGGCATGTGGCTATCACTGGTTGGGCCAGCAGCTATTGCCCATCCCTAGTTACCCTTGAGAAGGTGGTGATGAACTGCTTTCTTAAACTGCTGCAGTCCATAGACTCTCAGTGCTGTTAGGGAGAGAATTGCAGGATCTTGACTCAACAGCATTGAAAGAGTGGCCATACAGTTCCAAGTCAGGGTGGTGAGTGGCTTGGAGAGTGTGCCTGCTGCCCTTGTCCCCCCATTTTGTAGAGATTATGGTTTTGGAAAGGATGTTAAGGAGCCTTGGTGACCTAATGCAATGCATCTTGTAGATAGTACACACTGCTGCTGCTGAACATTGGTGGTGAAGGGGCTGGATGTTTGTGGATGTAGTGCCAATCAAGTGGGCTGCTTTTTCCTGAATGGTGTTAAGCTTCTTGAGTGTTGTTGGAGCTGCACCCATCCAAGCAAGTGGGGAGATTCCATCACACTCCTGACTCATGCCTTGTAGACCATGAACAGGCTTTGGGGAGTCAGCAGGTGAGTTACTTGGTGTAATATTCCTAGCCTCTGAACTGCTCTTTCAGCAACTGTGTTTATATGGCAAGTCTAGTTGAGTTTCTGGATAATGGTAACCTCCAGGATGTTGACAGTGGAGATTCAGTGATGTTAACAGCTTTGAATGTCAATCAGTGATGGTTACATTCTGTCTTGTTGGATGAAGGTGGTTATTGCTTGGCATTTGTGTGGCACTAATGTTGCTTGCCACTGTTCAGCTCAAGCCTTGATATTGTCCAGGTGTTGCTGCATTTGGACATGGACTACTTTAGTATTTGAGGAGATGTGAATGGTGCTGAACGTTGTGCAATCATCCCCACTTATTACCTTATAAGAGAGGGAAGATGGAGCATCTGAAAATGCTGTGGCCTAGGCCACTACTCTGAGCAACTCCTGCGGAAAGTCATGGGCCTGACATGACTGATCTCCAACAGCTACAACAATTTTCGTTTGTGCCAGATATGACTCCAACCAGCAGAGAGTTTATCCCCTGATTACCATTGATTCCATTTTGCCAGGGCTCCTTAATGTCACCTGTTAAAATGCAGCCATGATATCAAGGGCTGTCACTCTCACCTCACCTCTAGAATTCAGCTCTTTTGTCCATGTTTGAACCAAGGCTATGATGAGGTGAGGTCAGAATATGGAGTTCGTGGAAAAAAATTGGTTGTGTTAAATCTGTACATTGTGGAATGACAGAGGGCATTAAAAGAAATGTATAATTACAGTTTGTGTAAAACTATGTTCTTTTCATGAATCTCCTGTTCAAATCTTTTTTTAAAACCATGGTCAAAAGTGCTGGGCACTAAAGGTAGCTGATAGAATCACAAGACTGGAGTTAGCTGGAATCCTTCAGAACTTTCTGCAAGTCGTAGTCAGCTAGTGCAGTAACTTATGACTGTCCAAAAGTTAGATGGTAGTGGCATTCCAATTCGCCTCTGTAATTGTCTATCAGTATCTTTTCATCTTAGAATGACCATTTTAATTATTATCTTGGTTGTCCGAATGGTTTGGCAGACCTGCACCTGTTGAATTGCTTAACCATGCAGATTTGACTTCTTAGTTTAGTTGCTTTCTTAACATCATGAGAAGAGCAGCTCTAGTCCTCAGCTGCCAGAAGGCATGCTGTCCATCTCTCTCAAAAGTCACATCTCCAGAAAAATTCTTGGATTTTGCCTGCTAAATTGGACTAATTCTCTGAGTACAATAAATGCTGCTGTGTCTTCAACTGCTATTCATCTGTATCTTAGCTCTTCCTACAAAATCAATCAATTAACAGACTCCCAATTGTAAACTTAAAGCAATATCTTTGATTTGTTAACAAATTCGTAAGTTGTAAATCTCTTCCTCCCCTCTCTGTTTCTCTGTATCTTGTATATGTGCATGTGAGAATAGAGTTTTAAAGCAATTCTCCCTGCATTATGAATATTTTGTTTAAAAAAGCATACTTTTGATTTCACCTTCGGGGATTTTGCTGTAGGTTTATTTCTAAAATAGAAACTCAACCAAGCAGTGTTTTGAGGAAATCTCCTCGGCCTTCTACAACAATGGATGGGAATAGAACGGGAAAAGAGTTAATCAAACTTCACTGTCTTGGGCTTAAGAGGGGAAAGGCAATCATAATTTAAATTCACCTCCATTTCCTGTTTGTCTGTACAATCAGGGGTTTCGACATTGAGTAATATGTGCAGCTTTGGATACCTGCTGTTATTGGAGGTTTTTAGGGTAGATATTTTCTCAGATTCACCATCTGCACAAATTGTTAATCTCTGGGATGTCTAGCGTGTCCTTCTACTCATTCTGTAGATAAGAGATAACTAGATTCTGGAACTATAGTAATCGACCATTACTCTCTCTATATAAACTTTGTTAAGAATGTATTTCTTATACCCTGAGAGACAAATCTGAGGAATCTGGTTTCATTACTGTAAATATTGGGCATGTAATTCATGGGTTGGGAATTTGACCAATTTCTGAAGAAAGGAGAAACATAGGTTGGATCTCTTTGACCCTTTGGATTCTGTAGTTTTTAATCCAGAACTTTACATTCTCATTATAAAACATCTTTGAATCTTATTTCAGTCTGTAATGACGGGAACCAGGTGGACCTTGTTGACTATGAGAACCTTGATTGGCCCAGGTTAACAGCCCCAATCAGGAAAGTCCTGGCTGACTAATATAATCTGGAGAGGACCATGGAGGGGGTCATTATGGCTGACTGCCTGTTCCTTTTCTGTGGCTACATCCGTGCCCAGGTGTCCCTGGAGAAGGAGCACACGGTGTGCACCACCGCTTTTGATGCCTTTTGGGAGAGATGGGCACTGCGGGGTGTGGAGTGCTATATTTCCCCTTTCAATTCTATTTTAATTTGACCCCTACACTCCCCTTCACCTTTTTGTTCACATAGGTGTTTCCCCTAGGGGCTCTGCTTGATACTGGTTCTTTGGTCGCTTGGGTGTTTTTCCTGGTGGCAGAATATCAATAAAGTTATTTACACACCTGGTGTTTTTTAACTGTGTCTCATCTGTACACACACATGATGCTGGGGAAAATAAGCACCATTATTGCATGGCGATGGTGTAGGGGTTTGGAAAAAAAATTAACCAGGAAATTAGAATTCAAAAACAAAAAAAAATATAACCAGGAGATTTAGAACCTCATTAGTTCAGTGGACTGACTCTGAGCTGGCTGGCCACAGCCAATGTACTGTGCACAAGTAATGTTCAAAGTTGGGTACAGTAATTGTGAGATGGAGGGCAGGAAGCTATAATGTGTGGTTCCTTTAAGAGATTTGTACTTTGTCTGTCCTTAGAAATTTAAAAAAAATGTGTCTGTGAGCAGCAGCTGAAGTTGCTATTACAGAGAGCCTCAAAAAGTGAAATAAGTGTATCAAAAAAAGCCTTACAGGTGGGAGGCAAAACATTAGTCTTGTCTTGATATTATGACAAGAAGTTTGAATTTGGTCAATTAATTTAAGCGAGGCACCTAGATACAGAAAGCCAATTGAATTTAAATCTGATAGTGTTGACAACCTGAAACCAATCATATTATAAGAATTTGGTAATGTCATTACGGGTATGTAAGACGAGGGCAATTGGAAAACCGGAGAGAGCCAACTGCCAACTGAAAAAGACAGCCATCCGCCACCTGCCTGAGTTAGCACCATTCAGCTCTCAGAATGCCTATCTAATTAATCAGAGGTACCGTGGTATTTTAGCTCAAAGTCCTCATTGAAGAAATTATAGCAATAAAACATCCATGACAGCAGAATTAACGGAAAAAAGGTGTTTGTGAAGAAAGCAGAGATGACAGAATATTCCAGAAGACAGTCAGTGCGAATTTGGAGAGATTAAGTTATAATTTATTGCTTCTTATTAATTGGGTTTATAGTGGTGGGCCTTGTCTTGATTTAAACAGCATTCCATAGAATTTAGACTAGTTAGGAAGTAGTTAGTAATCTAAGGGGGAAACTGTCACTTTGTTAGTAATTCTGTTAATTTGTTCATTATTAGGGTTAAATAAATAAATTGTTTCTTGTTATTTGTAAAGTGGAGATCAGGGATTTTCTTTCTTTTACCATTTTAATTTGAGGCAGAATTGAGATCAAAATGTCTGATACATCCATTTCAGATATGTTACCATCGAAAGAGAATATCACATTGGAAAGGCTATGCAGATAGAATGCAAAATCTAGGTAGAAACTCAAATTTGAAAATAGATAAGAGAATGATGGTAACAGAAAACCAGCCTGGCTCAAGAAGCTTCTCAGATTTTGCAAACTTTTTTAAGGTACCAAAATACTGCACGTTAGATTGACATGAAACAACTTTAAATATTGTGATGCTAGATGATACTGAGTAGAAAAAAATGACATAAACATGCAAAACATTCAGCTTTATCAGCAAATACAATTTGGTAAGAAAACGGGGAATTCAAGCGGATGCACAAGAGTCAGAAAGAACCTGAACTGATAATCTAAATGTGTGCTGATAATCTAAATGTGTGCAAAGAGGTTAGTACCTTTTAGCACACAACTCCAAAGAAAACTCAGCATACCAAGATATTTCTTCATTACAACACATATGGTAATAAACCAACTTTCGAAGATATGA